GAAGCCGCTTAGAATTTTGGCGTGACATTTCAGGACTGACAGTAAAAGGGTTAACACCTCAGTCTGCTTCCCACCATGCAGGGTGACCTGAAAAGAGGAAACACTTATCATCATCATTCACACCATCACAGTCCCTCCAGATGCATAGCCTACTCTGCCATTTATAAAACAGTAACATATCAACACCCCCTCCATTGCAGGCACTGTTACTTCCTCCTCCAGAAGTCCATTCTGGTCATTTTCCCTGAATCCCTGACATAAATGTACCTATTGCTCGCACACTCCAGCAGCACAAAAAATATTTCTTATCCTAGAAAATATTCTTTCTTGCTCTAAGGCCTTTTGAGTTGCAAGCAACACATCATAAGTAGGTTGCAATGTGGCAGAACAGCGTAGAAATTCAAGCAGGATTCATTCAGGGGGAATGACTTTCTTGTTCTCTTGAACTCAGTGGCTGTCTTTTCCACCCAAGTAGTGACAACCGCCAAAGATGAAAACACATTGACCATCTTTCCAGAATGTGCTGAAGGAAGGGCTCTTGAATCTGAGGAAATAGAGTTACTCCTGCGCTTGCTTTAATTAAAACTAATAGTCTCGGTGCTGTCTTAGCCAAATTGTTTAATCCATTGTTTCTCTTAGATTCCTGGAGGTTATGATGAGAGTCCTCTGCACTCGAAAGGGGTTGGGGGATGTTAAGCATGGTGGGCAATCTGAATGTAATTGTCCAGCACACTTCTGGAGAGACAGCTATTAAGAGTGAATGGTGAAAAAATTTTCTTTGGATCACCCCACCTGTATATACACTTAAAGGTCATCTGTGGTGTGACCTTTAGTAACAGTTGGAGTTTATGTCCCAGAGAGGCTTATTATTTTATTAAATAATGCTGCAATACAGTAAGTCCTCCACTTATAAACATGTTGATAATCCTTTTGTATTTTGTATAATATCATTATTATTTATTATACACAATACAGGAGGTCGCCAATATGTTTTGTAAGTCAAGGACTTACTGTAATAACATGGGAAGGGTGAGAAGAATTCTTCCTCCATAAAGCCGTGTGGTTTATAATTGATGCAACAAGATTTGCCTGGAGCATTTTAAGTTAGCCCTTCTAACATACGCATAAAAAGAAAAAACCTTTTTTTTTTCTTTTTAGGTCACCCTGGCCTTGGTGGGAGATGGCCAGTGCATTAAGAAAAAATGGTTACCTGGATATTGTAAGACTTCCTGACATGGGTAAAAGCTCATGTGGTAGAAGTGCTCTCCAAGAAAGCTCCCTCATTAATGCAGATCTTCAAGCGTTTTAACTAATGTCTCTGAATGCAAATATTTGCTGGTTACCCATGCATACAGTGAAGATTGATAAATGAGATACAATGCAACATTTATGTTATCCTTTATTCTTGAAACGTTTCACCAGCCAGTGCTTCTTCAGGTCCAGTACAGAGAAAAGTGGAAGCAGCGGAGTTTTAGGGGTAATCAGTCCCTCATCCTGGAGTCCAGTGTGTCCAGTCCCATATATTCACAGAGATGTGGGTTTCTTAAGGTAGTAGGTGTTAGACAGCAACCACCCAGGGAGGTACTATAACTACCTCCTGGCCAAGTGAGTGGTAAAACGCAGCCTGTAATTGTTTTTTACATGATGGTATGATTTCTTGTGTTTTTTTTCTGTCTCATAAACATGCAAGATTTCAGGTACGTCTTGCTACTTCTACTTACCCTTAGGTCACAACACTACACATACATGTACTAGCATATATATACCACACCCTCTGGATTGTTCTTCTATTTTCTTTCTAGTGTCTTGTTCTTGTTTATTTCCTCTTATCTCCATGGGAAAGTTGAACAGAATTCTTCCTCCTAAGCCATGCGTGTTGTAAGAGGCGACTAAAATGAATGCCCGGGGCCAAGGGGAGCAATAACCCCTTCTCCTGTATAAATTAGTAAATTTGAAAAGAGAAAAACTTTTCATTTCTTTTTGGCCACCCTGCCTGGTGGATGCGACCAGGTTTGTTGAAAGAAAGAAGAAGAAAATATAAATTTTAACCTCACTTCTACTTTGGTGAAAAAGAGTCAAGTACCTACTAGAAGTGCTGAGAAGGGAGGAGGAGGAAATGTTATTGTTTGGAAGGAGAGTCCCCTTCTCTTTCCTGTGCTCTTATCCCTATTTTGGTCCTGGTTAAAGCTCATCAGGTTTGACTTTTACTAAAAATCTGTCCAAATAACTTTGCTATTGCCATCTCAGGATGTGAAGGTTAGTGCACGAGTGGTTCACTCATTTTGACCTAACAAATTCCTAGCACAACAAGTTGTATTCCAAACAAACATCGTACACCAAGCAAAAATTTTCACATCCTAACAGGACGTATACTAAATTGGACTTATTCCAAAGTGGACATAATGCCTGAGGTACCACTGTACAGGCACTGTACTTGCCACTGTTCCAGGACTCAAGTCCTGCTAACCACTTATCAGACTCGCCTGCCTGTTGAGAAGCTAAGAGAAGTGGGCTATTATTCATGTTGTCCTGTTTGTTATTAGTGACCTTTAATTTCTCTCACTGAAATTCTGAGATGTTTTGGTGAGGTATCCGTAATGGCACCCAATTGTTATAGTGATGTCTTAAAGGTTTTTTACAGACAATTAGCAAAATGATTCCCCAAATTCATCACTAAAGCAAGTGGTGCTGAATACAAATAATTGGTTAGAGTAATAGATTGCAATACCACCCCAACTTGGTTGGGGTCTGCAGTTGTGACTTGCAGTGTATCCTGGTAAAGTGGTAGATATCTATTGTGACCTGCTTAAGAGCCAGGTCTCAGTAAGAATTAATGGCAGAGAAGGGTCTTTAGTGATTCAAGGAGTGCCAGGAGGTCATCATAGTGTTTGCTTAAGGACCTGATGTGTCGTTACGTACTGATAGGACTTTTAGCATTGTTTAGGATATGTGGTTGGCTTGTGATGCTGTGTAATTAAATGCAGTTACTTTCCAAAGGTTTTGCTTGGTGTTGCGGCCCTGCCAAAACTAGCGGTTTAAAAAAGTTAACCTGCCGCCGGCAGTACCACTGGTGCGTCATCAAACCCAATGTGGGGGCTGCTGAGCCGCCTTAGAGCAGGAAGAGCCCCTGAGTGCCTCGCTGTACACACCTAAGCATAGGTACCTGACCACTCCGAAGGGTACACGTCTACTGGCTTTAGAAATATTATGTACCTGAGTTCCTCGCTGTACACACACCTAAGCCGTAAGGTACCTGACCACCAAGTTACACGTCTACTGGCTCAACTTTAAGTACCTGAACTCCTCAGGGTACAAGCGTCTAATGCCAGAGTACCTGACCACCGAATCGCTACCTATCTACTGCGTTGAAGACCGCTCACCCGCATCTCACTGAGTCTGTTGCCTCATTACTTTGACGCCGCATTCAGTGAGCTGCACAGCATGGTGTTCGGCTAGCGGTGTGTCAACCGCCTTTGAGAGGATTACTGGACTACCGGTGATGTCTGTGACTCACCGTCGACGTTGATCACTGTGGGTCCGGAGTCGTCCAGAGATGCTGTTTAGTGGGACATTAAATGAAGAAAAGGTTTGGAGTGTTACACTGAACTAGGGCCAGACGCGTAGGGGACACTGATGGACTAAACGATTGAGTGGAACACTGAGATAATGCACAGGACCGTATTGGAACTCTTGAGTGAAAAAGTGGTGTCGGAGGGACACTGAAGATGGCCTGGTTGAGTGTAACACTGAACAGTGTCGTTTGACTGACTTCGTGTCGGAGAGGCAGTTTGATTGTAATGTTAATTATTATAACAATGTTATTTCTAATTTATGTTTTAAGCATAGAGATATATATATAGAGACAGTAGTGCAAGAGTTGTACCCTGAGTAGGGTTTATTAATTATATTTTAGTAAAATGCTGATATAATTTATTATAGTAACATGTACATAATATTATTATAATCATAGTTCAAATACCTCTAGACCAAAGATAGTTGATTTTTATATATTTAAAATTAATTTATATTAATGTGTGTATTTATGTATCCCGAACTCTTTATTACAAAAGAAGTAAATCATAAATCTTACCATACTTCTTTAAAAAAATACTTTTTTGTAATAATGGTGTCAATTTATGGAGGTTTAGATCAGGGTCAACGTGATCAATCATCTTCTAGGTTTAAATTATTGGTTTTTATATCCTGAGTTACTGTATATCCTTGTGCTTAGCGCTTCTTTTTGATTATAATATAAATATATCCATGAGTTTTGTGTTGAGCTTTTAGTACTGATGTCTGTATGTGTAGGAAGTTTGGACAGAGTAAAATAGCTAGAGTATTTTTGGTCATATAGAGTATAGTCACTACTACACATAATGAAGTTGATGTTGTCCTAATTGTTGGAGCTGAAATGAATTAAGTACACTAGGTATAAACTAATAATAGTAAAAATAGCAACATTAAAAATAGAACAAAGACATTCACTTGCAATTGCACTAAGCTAATATAATGACTTTCATGTGGAGTCTATGTTTTGAGCTAGACATTAAATCCCATTAGACCAACTGACCAGTCCTAATGGCTCTGGTGTAGTAGATAGGCTTTAAACCCCATTAACCAACCGACCAATCTTAATAACCCTTATGTAGTAGACATTAAACCCTATTAACCCACCGACCAATCTTAATGATCCTCGTGTAGTAGACATTAAATCCCATTGACCAACCGACCAATCCTAATGACTCTCCTGTAATAGACTTTAAAAACCCTATTAGCTAACCAACCAGTCCTAATGGCTGGTGTAGTAGATAAGAGGCAACTAAAATGCCAGGAGTGAGGAGCTAGTAACATCTGCTGTATAAATTACTAAATGCTAGCAGCAAGATAGTAGTAATGCCTTCTACTGTATAAATTACTAAATGAAGAAAAGGAGAAAAAATTTTTTTTTTGAGTCACTCTGCCTCGGTGGGAGAGGGCCGTTTTTAAAAAACATTTTTTTTTTTTAGGGAGGATGGTCATTCCTGGACCCCGACTCAGATGCGGAAAATGAACAGGAGGAGACCGAAAATTTGGAGGACGACGGAGCGTATGCCCCCACAGACGAGGAGCTGGGGTCTGAGGAAGAGAGCGAGGACTACTGCGAAGGACACTCAGAAGCATCTGATTCAGAATATAGCGAAGGTAAATTGTCATGGGGATTTTGTTGAAGACACATGGGATGATAGGTGTGTGTTGCTACCATAAGTATTTAACCTGCAAACACGTTGAGAATCTTCTGTATTGTGTATATCATTATTGTGCATAATATCATCATTACACACAATTCAGAAGGTCCCCAATGTGTTTGTAAGTTGAGTATTTAATGTACAGGCGGTCTTTGACTTACTATGGGTTTACATTCCAACAAACCCATTATAAGTTGAAAATATCCTGAGTTGAATATGATATGCTGGTGAAAGTGTTTCTTTTTAGGGTCAACCTGCCTCAGTGTTAAAAAAATGCTAAATAAGTAAATAAATAACTACTCTCACTGAATGCCAGACTGTCTTCAGATAAAGATAGCCATGTGATACACATCTAATACCTCATCATGTAAGTTTACCTGGAGAGGGTTTTGGGGGTCAACTTCCCCTCAGCTCGGTCTGAGACTAGGCCTTGTGGTGGATCAGGGTCTGATGGACCAGGCTGTTACTGCTGGCTGCACGCAAGCTGACATACGAGCCACAGCCCGGCTGGTCAGGTACTGACTTTAAGTGCCTCTCCAGTGCCTTCCTGAAGACAGTCAGGGGTCTATTGGTAATCCCCCTTATGTATCCTAGGAGGCAGTTGAACAGTCTTGGGCCTCAGACACTCAATGTGTTGTCTCTCACTGTACTTGTAGCAACCCTGCTTTTTATTGGAGGAATGTTTCATCTCCTGCTGAGTCTTTTACTTTCATAGGGAGTGATTTTTATGTGCAAGTTTGATACTAGTCTCTAGGATTTTCCAAGTGTATATTATCATGTATCTCTTTGTTGTGCATTTCAGGGAGTACAAATCAAGGGCCTTCAACCATTCCTAGTAATTCAGGTCCCTTATCATACTTGTGTGTACCATGAAAGTTGTTTGTACACTCTCCAGATTAGCAGTTTTGCCTGCCTTGAAGGGGCAGTTAGTGTACAGCAGTATTCCAACCTAGGGGGAACAAGCAATTTGAAGAGAATCATTATGGGCTTGGCATTCCTAGTTTTGAAAGTTCTCATTATCATTATCCATCCTTTCATTTTCCTAGCAAGTGCAGTAGATACATTGTTGTGGTCTTTGAAGGCGAGATCCTCTGACATTACCGCTCTCAGGTCCTTCACATTACTTTTTCACTCAATTGTATGATTAGAATTTATCGTATACCCTGATACAGTTTTAATTTCCTCAAGTTTTCCGTATCTGAGTAGTTGAAATTTTTCTTCATTGAACTTGATATTGTTTTGAGTGGCCCATTTGAAGATTTGGCTGGTATTCGCTTGGACTCTTGCGGTGTCTTCGATGGAGGTCACTGTCATGGCAGTCCAGGTGTCATTTGCAAAGGAAGACACAGAGCTATGGCTTACATCTCTGTCTGTCAGATATGAGGATGAGGAACAGAATGGGAGTGAGTGCTGTGCCTTGTGTAGCAGAGCTTTTCACTGTAGCTGCCTCAGACTTTTCTCTGTATACTATTACTCTTTGTGTTCTATTTGTCAGGAAGCTATAGATCCATCTACCAACTTTTCCTGTTATTCCTTTATCATGCATTGTGTGCACTATTACACCATGGTCATACTTGTCAAAAGCTTTTGCAAAGTCTGTATATACTACATGTGTATTTTGTTTATCCTTTACAGCATCCAAGACCTTGTCATAGTGGTCCAGTAGGTGGGACAGGTAGGAGCAACCAGCTCTAAACCCGTGTTGCTCTGGGTTGTGTAATTGATGGGAATCTATGTGGTTGGCTATCTTGCTTCTTGGAACCCTTTCAAAGATTTATATGATATGGGATGTTAGTGCTATTGGGCTGTAGTTTTTTACAATTGCTTTACTGCCACCTTTGTAGAGTAGGGCTATGTCTATTGTTTTTAGTGAGTGTGGGATGACCCCTGTGTTCATGCTCCCTCTGCATAGAATGCTGAAGGCATGCGACAGGGGCTTCTTGCAGTTCTTGATGAACACAGAGTTCCATGAGTCTGGGTGTGGGACAGACTGTGTGGGCATGTCATTTATTGCCTTTTTAAAATCTTGTGGTGTTGGGATAATATCCGAGATTTTTGAGATGACCATATTTTGGGTTTTGTTCATAAAGAATTCATTTGGATTGTCGACTCTTAGTCTGGGCAGCGGCTCACTGAACACTGAGTCATATTGGGACTTTAGTATTTCACTCATTTCTTGGCTGTCACCTGTGTGTGTCTTATTTCACCTAAGTAGCGGCCCAATACTGGATGTTGTTTTTCCCTTAGATTTGTCATAAGAGAAGTATTTTTTTTTTTTTAATTTCCTTTATGGCTTTTAGTTCTTCTTGCGATTCTAGTCTCTTGTAAGATTCCTTCATCTTAAGTTTGATATTTGCAATTTTGTTGACTAGTGCCTCCCTTCGTATTTCACATATACAGTGGACCTTGGCATAACGCTATTAATCCGTTCCTGAGAGTTCAATGTTAGGCGAAATTATCGTTAGGCGAATTAATTTTCCCCATAAGAAATAATGGAAATCAAATTAATCCGTGCAAGACACCCAAAAGTATGAAAATTTTTATTTTTTACCACATGAAATATTAATTTTAATACACACAAACTGAAGAAGACATGCACAGTTACATGACACTTAACTTTATTGAAGATCTGGTGATGATTGATGGGATGGAAGGAGGGGAGAGTGTTGGTGGTCTTAGTGTTTAGAAGGGGAATCCCCCTTCCATTAGGACTTGAGGTGTCAAGTCCTTTTCCGGGGTTACTTCCCTTCTTCTTTTAATGCCAATAGGACTAGCTTGAGAGTCACTGGACTTGTGTCGCACAACATATCTGTCCATAGAGGTGTGTACCTCTCGTTCTTTTATGACATTCCTAAAGTGTTTCACAACATTGTCAGTGTAATAGTCACCAACACGGCATGCAATAACTGTCTGAGGGTGATTTTCATCCATAAAGGTTTGCACTTTAAGCCACATTGCACATATTTCCTTAATCTTTGAAGTAGGCAACGTCTTCAATTTCTCTCTCCCCTCCTCCGAAGCAGTTTCCTCAGGTGTGGCCTCTTGCTGTTTAAGATGATCTAGCAGCTCATCAGTGGTTAGTTCTTCATTGTCCTCCTCCACCAACTCTTCCACATCCTCCCCACTAACCTTCAACCCCAAGGACTTGCCCAATGCCACAATTGATTCCTCAACTGGCATACGCTTCTCAGGGTTAGCTCCAAATCCCTCAAAATCCCTTTTGTCTACACATTCTGGCCACAGTTTCTTCCAAGCAGAGTTCCAGGTCCTCTTAGTCACTCCCTCCCAAGCTTTACCTATAAGGTTTACACAATTGAGGATATTAAAGTGATCTCTCCAAAACTCTCTTAGTCAATTGAATTTCTGAGGTCACTACAAAGCACCTTTCAAACAGAGCTTTTGTGTACAGTTTTTTGAAGTTTGCAATGACCTGCTGGTCCATGGGCTGCAGGAGAGGCGTGGTATTAGGAGGCAAAAACTTGACCTTAATGAAGCTCATGTCCCCACAAAGTCGCTCTGCCAAGTCTGTAGGATGACCAGGAGCATTGTCTAACACCAGGAGGCACTTAAGGTCTAATTTATTTTCAAATAGGTAATTTTTCAGTGGGGGCAAATGCTTGGTGTAACCAGTCATAGAAAAAGTCCCTAGTGACCCATGCCTTACTGTTTGCCCTCCACAGCACACACAAATTAGCCTTGAGGATATTCTTTTGCCTGAACGCTCTGGGAGTTTGAGTGATACACCAATAAAGGCTTCACTTTGCAATCACCATTAGCATTGGCACACATTAACAGAGTAAGCCTGTTTTTCATAGGCTTATGTCCTGGGAGTGCCTTTTCCCCCTGAGTAATGTAGGTCCTGCTTGGCATTTTCTTCCAAAACAGGCCTGTTTTGTCGCAATTAAGCAAACAATAGTGAATAAGAAAATTACATAAGGTGACTTATGCTTACTAGTAAAATCACATAATGAGGTAGTTGATTAATTACTAAGAGATTGTACTATGAAATTTGAACAATAATGGAGCAAAACATACACTACACTATGTGGGCTTTTAGATTGGACATTTGTAGATGAATGGTTCAGAGAACCGACATGTTGATAAATTAGACACGTGCAACTCTTGGGTATCTTTATTGAGGAAACGTTTCCTCAATAAAGATACCCAAGAGTTGCACATGTGTCTAATTTATCAACATGTCGGTTCTGTGAACCATTCATCTACAAACCTGTCAGACACTGCAACTTCTTGGGATTTTTAATACTTGGGAAATTTCTTGCTTGCCAAATTCTTGGCACAACCCCACTTCCCCCAAAAAAACAAATGTGACACCCACCCATGACTGCTACAAAAACTCCTGCCATAAAAAAGGTTTATAAGCTGCCTTTTCCGCTCTTTTTTTCCCTTTTCTACTCAAGATTGAAGGGCTGAACACTTTTACCAAGGTTGAGGGACGTTAAACCCCAATTTTTTCCTTTGTTCTTCAAATTTTCCCATGTATGGACTGATAAGTCCTTTTGGGGGTGAAACGTTTCCCCCAATAAAAAAAATACCCAAGAATTTGCCCCATGTGTCTAATTTATCAGATTGGACATTTTTCAAATCTTCTCTGAAGAAATTTTTTTTCCCCGAGAAAAATTTTGTAGATCATTCCCGTTTTTTGATTGTGTACAGGGTTTACCCACATTTGTTTTTCCCAACTAGAATTTTCCCCCTCCCGTGTGAAGCCATTGGGGTATTGGTTTATTTTCTCCCTTAAATTTTCTGACTCTATAAAAGGAGGGTTTGACATTTTTTGGGAAAAACCTCGTTATGTATACTGTTTCTTTTCTTTAATAGAAAGCAATTTTTAAATCCCTTTTTTTCCCGTATGTGAAATGGAATCTAAGCATAACACTTGTTCTTCCATGGGATCATGTAAACCGGCTTCTTTTTTTTCTGACTCTGGTACGTAAA